GAGTCTCCTGCCTCCGCCTCCCAAGTAGCTGGGACCACAGGCGCCCGCCACAACGCCCGGCTATTTTTTGGTTGCAGCCATCATCATTGTTTGGCGGGTCCGGGCTGGGGATTCGAACCCGACGGCTTAGGTGTACGTGGCTGGCGCCTTAGCCGGTTGAGCTATAGGCGCCGAGCCCATAATACTTTTCATAGAACAAGATGCAGTTTTATATCTGTGTGATTATTTAATTAATATCCATTTCCCCCACTAGAATGTAAGCTCCATAAGACATGGCATCCCCAAGAGTTCATGTCTGTTTTACTTGACATTGCATCTGCAAAATTGAGCCCTGTCTCTGACACTCATTGTTTTTGAATAAAAAGGTATGTTGTATTAAGTCTTTTGCTTCTGTTCAGAGTACTTCCTCTTCCTAAAATATTTAAATTCTCTTCATCTTAAAATTCAGCTCAAATACAACCTTAACCTCAAACCTTCCTCAATAATCCAAATTACAAATTTCCCTCTTCACTGAACTTCTAGTATACTTTATGTCTCTAATGGTAAGAAGAAAATTCTACCATGCATTAGTTATGTCTATATACTTTTTCTCCTCTATTAGATTGAGGACTTCCCTACAAGACTATCTGATAACTTTTGAATTAATCTTTTATCCTAGAAATAGTCAAGAAAACTCATGCAACATCTATGATGAACATGACTAGTACAAGTCTACAATACCTATAGTGCACATGGTAGAAAAGCAAAGTATTAAAAACTTAAGAAACCTAAAATATCTCCAGAAGGATACCAAAGAAAGAGGAACACAGGTTGCCTCAATGCAGAATGGTAGCTGAGGAAAAAGGGCAAAAGGAAGACATTCTCCTTGATATAATTTTGCTTCTATTGAAGCTTGACTCACATGGACATATTATCTATTACATATCATATACTAATTTTGATTTGTGAACATTTTTATTACAATTACAAAAAATTTCTTAGTTTAAAATAATTAATAATAAAATCTATAGAAAATAAAAACTAAATAAAACTTATGAAAGGGTGGCGCCTGTGGCTCAGTGGGTAGGGTGCCGGCCCCATATACCAAGGATGGCTGGTTCAAACCCGGACCAGCCTAACTGCAACAAAAAAATAGCTGAGCGTTCTGGCAGGAGTCTGTAGTCCCAGCTACTCGGGAGGCTGAGGCAGGAGAATCGCCTAAGCCCAGGAGTTGGAGGCTGCTCTGAGCTGTGATGCCACAGCACTTGACTGAGGGTAATAAAGTGAGACTCTGTCTCTATAAAAAAAGAAAAAGAAAGAAAAGAAAAATGCAGTTCCACCCCTTTTAACATCCTTAAAATTGGGATGCATCTTTCAATTTAAAATCAAAAAAACAAAAACTTATGAAACCTACACATTTATCAGGCAAATGAAGATGAAATTGCAACCATCTACAACTAGTATCCACTAAGCATCTACCGTGCACAAGTCGTCCTAGTAAATTAATATTATTTCACTTAATAGAAAAACTTGATAGTTGACATACTTAACATTAATGTTCCTCATCTTATTAAACTGAAACTTTTATTATAGAATAAACTTTACATCTATTTCACATGAAAAAAATTTTCACTTCTTACACTTCTCACCTTGTTGATAATCTAACATTCAAAAGTAATATTTACCCTCTGAAAGTTACTAATGTATTTTTTGTTTACTATACTCCAATCAGACCTCATCTTCTCTTATACATGCTTTTGGCCACTGCTATACTGAACAGCTGTCAGCTATCCAACTGAACCCAAGCCCAAGGCCCTTTGTTTGGACGGCCTGGAGAATCCTTGCAACCCTGCCACAACCTGCCACTTGACATCTTTACTTTATATGTGAAGGTGGCAGAAATATGCACCAAAATCCAGAAGCAAAAAAGGAAGCAGCAAAACTGGAATCAGCACAGTAGAGGACAAACAGAAAAGACACACATCAAGGTAGAACTATGAAAAAGTTACCAAGAAGTAGATTGTAGGACAAAGTAATATTATGACAGTTGAGTGGTCCGAAGCGAGGATTTTATATAAAAGCCTATATATACAGTTAGAGTCAGCAGGATGCCTAGAACCACACTCACTTGTAATCCTGAAATACAGTGGAGGAAACTAAAGGGAAATTGGACAAAAATAAAGAAAAAGTGATTATAAATCAGAACCTGGAAAACGTGAGATGTGTAAAAGCAGAGATCTTAGCAACTGATCTAAATCAGCCGAGATAATCTAATAATGCCTATTTGGAGGCCAGGGGAAAAAATAGGATGAACGTATTAAAAGGTAGAATAATGGTGGTCTGTCAAGGGGAGAGACTGTCAAAAATAGAACGAGTGATGGAAACGGTGCTAGGAAACCATCTAGTCTTTTACAAAGTGGATCACGGAAGTGGGGTGGGTTAAGGAAACAGAACTTCAATCCAAAGAAAAGAGGATCTTTATGTTGGAAGGGGGTGAGAAAGGTATTGACGGGAACCGCGGAAAGGCGGGAGGGTGAGGCGAGGCGTTTGACTCAGCTTAGATGAAAGCACAGAGAACGGCGCCAAGGAACAGGACAGGGGACAGCGACGTGGCTCAGGGCTCCCTCACCTTGGCCTTGTAGCTAGGCAAGTTGCAGAGGATGTCCGTGCGCAGAGCCTCTTCTGCCAGCCTACGGGCGCACAGGCTCCGCCACACCTCACTGTTCTCATCGCCGTGCAGGCAGCGATACCAATGCTTGCACACCAGGGCACAGTTCCGCAGCTCGGACAGCTCCAGGTAGGAGAACACCAACTCCAGCACCCGGCTGGGCAGCCGGCCCCCGGCCCCCGCGGACCCAGAGCCCGAGCCCGCACCCGCGCCGCCGCTGCTGCTACAGCCAGCGCCGCCCGAGGCTCCTCCAGCCCCCGGGGTCGGCGCCGCCATCACCTCACCAGCCGGCCCGAGGGCCGCCGCCGCCACCGCTTCCCTCCGTCTCTGCTCCGGAGGCCAAGCCTCGCCTTGAAAACGGAGCAGCTCGCTCACCGCCCCTTTCAGTGCCAACCGCCGGCGCCTCCACCACTCCCGCCCCTGCCCGGGGGCGTTCGCCGCGCGCCCCGCCTCACTGAGGGCAGACGCACCGGCCGCACGGGCGTCCTCCGCCCCTCCCCCGCGGCTCAGCGCGGGCGCCGGAGCCGCTCGACTCCGCCGGCCCCTGCGCGGCGCGCCCGTGGCTCCGCCATGCGGGTTGAGGGCACGAAGCAAGGGCGCACGCCCAGCTCGCTCGCGTTTCCTCTCTGGCCCGGATGTGACTGTTTGGCTGAGGCGCCTCGAGCGTTACGCTTGACGGGATTGGGCGCCCGCGGGTGAGGTCATCACCGGGCGTCCCGGAGGGAAGCGGGAATTGCAGGTATGAGGCTAGTGCCGGTGGGTTTGGGGCTTCGCTCCAGTACCTTTTCCTTTTTGTGGTTTGTGGCCTCGCATCTGTTCTTCTAAGCTCCTTCTCCTATGAAGTTTTTTTGTGCCAGTTAGGTCCTTGTTTCAGACTCAAAGTTAGCGTATGAAACTCGCCTTTTTTGCTAGCCAATTCCTAGTTCGTCTAATTTCGGCTTGAATTGGATCCTACTTGTTTACCTTGGCTGGTCTTTTCTTGGTCAGGCCTTTTCGTTCTTCCTAAGTGTACGCATCAGAACGTTCGTCCCGGTTGTGCACTCGAAAAGTAAGGTGACTACATCTTAAATCCTCCTACTCCCCCCCACCAAATGTTGGTATTATCTTAACGTGACATTTGAGTGCCAGTTCTAAAATTTTTCGGACAAAATGTGGTCTTTTCCAGATCCACCACTTTATAAGCTAATTAAGTGAGTGTGTTTTAATGCAACTAAACATTCCAATAGAGGAAATGAAGTGGAGGTTGTAATTATATCTTGCAAGGGAAAGAATTTTAGCATTATTCGGTCATGTTACCTGTTTCTAGGTGGCCCCAAAAGTTTTCTTAAGGAAATCTTAGTACCACTTGAGCCACAGAAAGTCAGGCACTGTGTAAAGCACTTTGGTCATTCTCAAAACATCACTACAAAGTAAGTAATTATCATAATAATAGTGTTCACAAACTCCCTTAGTCAACTCTAGTGTCTTGCAACCTTTATATGTAGTAAGAACTCTTTTTTTTTTTTTTTCCTGAGGCTGGGCGCGGTGGCTCACGCCTGTAATCCTAGCACTCTGGGAGTCCGAGGTGGGTGGATCTTCTGCTCTCAGAAAATGGAGACGAGCCCGAGCAAGACCTGTCTACTAAAAATAGAACAACTAGCTAACTGTTGTGGCAGGTGCCTGTAGTCCCAGCTAATTACTTGAGAGGCTGAGGTAGGATAATCTCTTGAGCCCAAGAGTTTGAAGTTGCTCTGAGCTGTGATACCATAGCACTCTACCGAGGGGGCAAAGTGAAACTATCTCTAAAATAAAATAGGCTTGGTGCCAGCCACATACACCAAAGTTGGCCGTTTGGAACCCAGCGGAGGCCAGCTAACCAACAATGACAAGTACAACAAAAAATGGCCTGGTGTTGTGGCAGGCGCTGTAGTCCCAGCTACTTGGGAGGCTGAGGCAAGAGAATCATTTGAACGCAAGAGTTTGAGGTTGCTGTGAGCTGTGACAGCACAGCACTCTACCCAAGGTGACACAGTTAGATTCAGTCTCAAAAAAAAAAATAATAATGATAGTAAATCTTGGTGGTGCCCATAGTTCAGTGGGAAGGGCACCAGCCATGTGCACCAAGGCTGGCTAAACAACAATGACAACTGCAACAAAGAAATAGCTAGGCATTGTGGCGGGCACCTGTAGTCTCAGCACTTGGGAGGCTGAGGCAAGAGAAATCACTTAAGCCCAAGAGTTTGAGGGAGCTGTGAGCTGTGATGTCACAGCACTCTACCGAGGGATACATAATAAGACTCTCTAAAAAATAAATCTTTCCTGAAGTTTCTGGTTGTGTGTAACCCATTTCTTGGGCTCTAGTGAAACAAAAGATAATGTTTGATTCTTACTTGCTAGTCCTTTCTTACCGAATGTTTTTTGACCCAAGCTAATTCTTTTCATTTTTGCCAGTCAACAGTCCTTCAGTCATTTGGTTGCTTTCCAGCTTCTCTGAGACCAACTTCCGAAAACCCAAATCTGTGGAGAAAAATTGACCAGTATTGATTATAGCAATGGTGACTATCCCTCAAATTATATTTGTTGAATATTAGACCATAGTTTGTCTGAAAAGACAGTTGTACTTCTTTTTAGTCTTCAAGGATAAGTGGAGGTGGCTCATCTGAGAAGGGTTGGTAAACAACTACGCAGAATGAACAGCTTTAAAGGTACCAGTGTGTAAAGGACAGTGGAGGTGTGACTGGAGCAAAGTGTTGAGAGTAAAGATCATTCAGTTATTTAAAACTAAAAAATTTGGCCTTTGTCCTGTTACAGTGTAAGTAAGGTAAACCCTTTGAAGGATCCAATGAGATAATTCTGGTGCTAATCTAGTCCAGACATTGAGGTGATCTTCAGGGACAGACTATTCCCCCAGGGGCCCAGGTAGAATTTCAAAGTAGGAAATGATTACCTATATTAATCCCTCCTTTTTGTTATACAGATCTTTCACCTGCTCATCACCCTCCCCAGCAAGCCATTTCCCCATTTTCAGTACTCATTCTGCCCTCTATTCAGTCTGCAAAGTGTGGCACTCCACCCTTTCTAAAAATGTTCTCAAAGAACCCCACCTTTATCTTCAAAACAGTGTTGCATGAAAAAAAATACCCCACCTTTCCCTCACCCATTCTGTGATCTCAATAAGGAAGGACTCTATTATGTAATTAAAGTAATTCACAGTAGGATGTGATTAATGGCTATGTTTGACCCTGTAGGCAACTACATAGGAAAAGAGAAGTTTGTTGACTTGACTTGAATGTGGAGATAGTTGCACTTAACCTATTTCTGCTAGGCTTTTCAGTCCCAGTAATAGAAAATCAAGAAACCTTGGCTTGCCAACTCAGTTCTAAAGAATTGATTTTCCCCATTACCCTGTACCATACTAATCTGAATTGTCTAACTTTTTCATGGTGATTTTTGAGTGTGTTTCAGACCATGACAAATAATTTTATAGACCAAGTAAACAAATGATTTTATGGGCTTTAGCTGAATCATTGATCAATATTCTGCATGATAAATGTTGATAGTCCAAAATTAATAGCCTCAGAGTGTATGGATTTATGGGGCTTTACTAGCTCTCATTTTCTTAACATTCTCAGTAATAGGTCTTTATTTTAATTTTTCTGACTAGACAGGTGCCTGAGCACAGTGGCTCACACCTATAATCCTAACACCTTGGGAAACAGAGGCAAAAGGATTGCTTGAGGCCACGAGTTCAAGACCAGCCTAGGCAACATATGAGACTTGTCTCACGGCTGGGCGCCCGTAGCATAGTGGTTATGGTGCTGGCCACAGGCACCAAGGCTGGGGACCTCAAACATGGCCTGGACCAGCTTAACAACAATGGCAACTGCAACAAAAAAAATAGCCGGGCATTGTGGCGCACCTGTAGTCCCAGCTACTTGGGAGGCTGAGGCAAGAGAATCGCTTAAGCCCAAGAGTTTGAGATTGCTGTGAGTTGTGACACCATGGCGTTCTCCCTAGGGTGACATAGTGAGACTCTGCCTCAAAAAAAAAAAAAAAAAAAAATCACCCTGATCAGCCTAAGCAATACAGGGATGCGCCATTGCTACAAAACATCATGTGGGGTGGTGGTACATGCCTGTATTAGCTACTTGGGAGGGCAAAGCAGGATGATTTCTTGGGGCCAGGAGTTGGAGGCTGCAGTAAGCTATGAAGACACAACTGCACTCCATAGGTAACAGAGCAAGACCTCGTCTCAGGGAAAAGAAAAAAAAAAAAGAAAAATTTTATCTCAGAGGAGCTAAGATACAGGATAAAAGAGAGAATGCTAAATAGTTAAAATGAATAAAATTGATTCATCATAGCAAAATAAAAACTCTAACCAAACAAAGAAGTGATCAACACCAAGATTCATAACAGTTAAACAAAATTATATGTAACTTAAATTGCCTTTTTTATACCTAACTCAGATTTCATATTTTAAGTTAGGATAGCATCTTTATTCCATAATAAGTCTATATGACAATTCCTAAGTCGAAATATTAATAGTTTTTGCTTAAAATTTTGGTTTATCTGAAACTTTTGGCAAGAGTCCTTAATATGTCAGAAAATTATTTAACTGCTGCTATTTCGGTACTTGTCAGCAAAAATCAAACCACCAGAGCTCCCTGTCTGCCTCCCTCTGAGTCATTTCCTCTCCTTCAAATCTTATTTGCTTCAGTATCTAATTAGTTTCCTCTGTGTACTAATTGAGTACTTCTGCTGAAATTTAAAAAATATATATTTTTGTCTTGTCATCTTTATGAAAATTGCTATATCTGATTTTGTAACTTTCTGTGACACTTGATTACTAATGGATCAGTGTTTTTTTGCAGTCTTATTGGTTATTTTGTTTGTCTGGAATGAGAGGAAATAAGCTTTGTACTGGGAATGGAAAATCTAGGCAGATTGTCAGATTATTTTAAATGACTTTTATAAGTAATATTAGGAAATGTGTCTCTGTACCATTAAGATAAATTCAAACATCTGATAATAGTAAAGCAACTCTGGTAGTTGTACACTCAGTAAATTTTCCTTTGGCTTATGAAATGAAAAAATTAAATATATCCAGACAGATTTGTTTGCATCTTTTTGTTTAACCCTTAGAGTTGTATAAATTGCTCTGATTTTCTTTTTTGCATTGACCTGTAGTTAGGTAAGGCAAGGTAGTATTTTTATGTGGCAATTCTAGTCTATACATCCGGGATTCCTAAGGGATCAACAATCTAAATTTTACACTTAAGTACTGTGCCATATATGTATAAGCGCAGGTAGATGATAATATGATTGAACGTACATAAGTACATTTAAAAGCAGTAATGACTTACCAGCTTTTAGTCATTTTCTGTACTTTCAAAGAAAACAAAATGGTAGAGTTATCAGAAAA